GCTGAGGACGGGGCTGTTAGTGTCCCAGAGTGAGTGGTCGTGCCGTGGGCTCCGCGAGGGGAAGAAGCTCCCTGAGTACGATGGCAAGGGCACAGAGCAGGGGGCACAAGCAGGTCCACCCAGGAGTGAGGCAGGGGGAGTGCTGCACCCACCTGTGGGCAGTGGGGATGTGAGGGAAGGGAGAACTAGAGCTCAGCGTGGGCCAACCCCTGAGTACGATGGCAAGGGCACAGAGCAGGGGGCACAAGCAGGTCCACCCAGGAGTGAGGCAGGGGGAGTGCTGCACCCACCTGTGGGCAGTGGGGATGTGAGGGAAGGGAGAACTAGAGCTCAGCGTGGGCCAACCCCCCGGAGCTGCTGTCAGAGCATCACAACAGGGTGGGACGGCTCTGGGGGGGTGGATACAGGCCCTTCAGGAGGGGAACTCTGGGGTGTGGGGGCTCCTCTGTGGGGACACGGTGCTGCTGAGTGCAGGATTGGAGTAGTGGGCAGGGAGGGGGACAGTGTGGTGGGGTGTGTTTCAGACCTCACCATTAAGAGGAGGATGAAAGTGAAGCCTTCTAGAGCCAGCCTGGGGGGATTTCAGCCTCCTTGGGGGTGGCCCTGGTCCTGACAGAGACCTTCCACCTCCTCTGTTTTAAGATGTCCTTACTCACTGCAGGGGTTGGACTCGATGGCCTCTAAAGTTCCCTTCCCACCCAAACTCTTCTGTGGCTGGATGACAACCTCCCCAACAGCTGCTCAAAGGGCAGCACAATGGAGCAGTGACAGAGGTTTCTGGAGGGCCTTGGGGGGAGGAGGGGGCAGAGGAGATCAACATGCCCATGGCAGGCAGGGGAGCAGGCAGCAGATGCAGCCTCTGGACCTCATGTTGAGCCCATGGTGGTGACCAGTAAGTGAGGCCTGACAGGAGGCAGCAATGCAGGAGCTGAGGAGAACAAGGAGCCTTTGAGGCCAAGTTCCAGCATGGTCCCAGGATGGCTGGTGCTGTAAGTGGCCTCAGGAGATCTTCCATGCCAACCCCTGCTCAGGACAGGCGGAGGCAGAGCCAGCTGCTCAAAGCTGTGTCTATTGGGCTTTGGAAGAGAGAAGTCCCTATGGTAGTGAAAAACCTGGAATGGGAAGACTGTACTGACAAGAAAGACCATACAGGAACAGGTTTCCCAGAGCATTTCCCTCCTCAAAGGTATCAAAACTGAACTGGACACAGATCTGGACAATCCCTTCTAGCTGATGCTGCCTGAGGTGGGAATGGGGGAGCTCCAGAGGCCTTTTCCACTTGATGTGTCCTGGGGATCCTCATGGCTGGAGGGGCCATGACCTCTCTGGGAAGCCTGACCTGGACAACCTGTTTGATTAGCCTCCCCATAAAAAAGGCTTTTTTTGAGAGACAAAACAAACCCAACTTTGGAAAAAAATTCCAGTGGCATCTCCTGAGGTCCAGTTTGAGCTCATTGCCTCTGTTCCTCTCACTAGGCACCAAAGTGAAGAGTCTGGCTTCTTTTTCCTTCCCATGTAAACACATGGATTGGTGTCCCCAGGCCTTCTCTGCTCCACCCCAGCAGTCCCAGTGCCTCCCACAGCAGATGCTCCAGTCCCTTCAGCATTGCTGGGCTCTTCCCTGGACTCCACAGGCCACAAGGGGAGATCAGAGCATCTCTCTTACAAGGAAAGGCTGAGAGAGCTGGGTCTCTCGAGCCTGGAGAAGAGAAGGCCGAGGGGAGACCTTATTAATGACTATAAGTATCTAAAGGGTGGGTGCAAGGAGGATGGAGCCAGACTCTTTTTAGTAGTTCCCAGTGACAGGACAAGGAGCAATGGGCACAAGCTGGAACATGGGAAGTTCCATTTAAATATAAGGAAAAACTTCTTTACAGTGAGGGTGACAGAGCACTGGGACAGGCTGCCCAGGAGGTTGTGGAGCCTCCTTCTCTGGAGATATTCAAGACCCACCTGGATGCAGTCCTGAGGAATGTGCTCTAGGGGATCCTGCTTTAGCAGAGGAGTTGGACTAGATGATCTCTAGAAGTCCCTTCCAACTCTGACAATTCTGTGATTCCGTGTTTCTGTGAAGAGACCTCCCAGTCTGGGGTATCACCTTCCTGTGCCATGGGGAGGGCTCCCAAGCTGCCTGTGCTCATCCTCCACAGCCTGGGATGCTGGTGGCCACCTCCATGGGGAGGCTGTCTTTCCAGTTCAGTATCATCCCAGGCTTTTGTTGCTCTTGCCCTTCACATCTCTCAGCAGGTTCAGCCCTCAGTGGGACCCAGAGCTGAGTAGTAACTCTGGGTACACACAGGGGTTATTGGGCCAGTGCCTGCCAGGACCAGAGACATGTATGTGCTGGGGGGGAGGTTGGTCTGGAGATGCTGGGAACTCATGATGGAGATCTAGCATGAGAAGGAGGGCACAAAGACATGTTTGGGATCAAACAACAAAGGAGGAATGTTAAAACCTTGGTGGAAGGGTGTCAGGGGGCCAGAGACCAGCCAGGGCTGGGATGTGCAAGGGCAAGGTCCACCCCACCCCAGGTGGTTGCAAGCTGCCCAAGGGACAGGCTTGGGAGGGTTGAGATGGGTGACAAGCAAGTGGAGATGGGCCTCAAAGAAGAAAACTACCTGAAATAGAGAAGAACTAAGCTTGAGCTCTCCTGAGACACCTCACCACCCATGGGCTGCACCCAGTCTCACCTCAGTCCCCAGGGACCACAGGAGCTCTTCTGGAGCATGTGAAGATCAGTGACCAGCAGCAGCCAGGCTGGGCTGCAGGGTCAGTGAGTGCTGCAGGAAACTGTGCTAGGGTCCCTCGCTCCAGTTCACAGGTGACACCAAATCTGCAGGACCAGTCACTGCTCAAGGGAAGTGCTGCCACCCATGAGTCTGAGCTAAGCTGGAGGATGGGACCAGAGGGGACCTTCCAGGGACAAAGGCAATGTCCTGCCCCAGGCAAACAGAGCTCTGGAATCTGGAGCCCTTGTTCATGGTGGGAGGGAGCTCAGCATGGGCCAGGAAGAGAGAGCTGTGCCAGACCAAGTCCTGCAGAACAGACATGCAGGGCTGTGTCCTGTGGGGGGTGCATGGGGACAAATCCTGTGGTGAGCTCAGCTCCAGCCTTGGTCCCTCTTCCCCCAAGCATGGTCCACAAGGGCGTGACTGGAGCAACTCTGGACAACCCAGCCCTCCCAGCCCTATTTCAAAGGTTCCTGTGCTCTTGGAAGGAGTTTTTTCTGGTGTCCAATGGGAATTTCCTCTGTCCCAGCTTGTGCCACCCTCTCCTGTGCTGTCCCAGTGCCCTAGGAGGGTCTGGCTCCCACTCCCCAAGGGATGTCCCCTCCCCTGGTTGTGCAAGCCTGGCTCCTGTCCTCACTTTATCCCCTGCCAGGATGTCCCAGCCTGTTCTCTCCCAGGGACCCCAGCTGGGCTGGCAGCAGCAGGAGGGTCCTGCTGGCAGAACCCAGGGATCTCCTTGGCTGCCAGGGCACCCCTGGCCTCCCAGTCACCCACCCGAGGTCCAGCTGCTCTCCTATTCACTGGGACCTGCCACATGCGGGTGTTTTGCTTCCCACAGGCCTGTCCTCAGGGATCGGGCACCCCAGATCCCGGCCAGCCCAGCAGGCTCCAGCCTGCTGCAGCGCGCCCAGGTCTGCTGGGGCCTGGGGTCCCAGACAGGCAGGGGGGCAGGGAGGTGGCAGCTGCCTTCACCCCCCATGGCGCAGGGGCAGCCTCAGCCTCACCAGGAGCGCCCACCGTGTGCATCACCAGCTGCATCAGCTGTGACACCGCAGTGGCGCAGGGACCAGGCGGGTGACGCAGCCACCGGGGCCGCCGCCACCCCCGGGGGGC